TTTCCTATGAGTATCAAGGAAATGACAATAAATTATAATTTTGAGAAACACGTTGGAAATACTCTTATCTTGAGCTACGTAAAAAGTTATGATGTATTTACGAAAACGCAAAAATTGCCATTTTTCTTCCAAAAACTTTTGGTGATGCGCACTTTATCTCCCAGCAAACATGAATCAACTTTATAAATACAATTAATAACTTGAATTCATTGCCAGCGCATTTTTTACATGTTTTACGATTTATATCAACCATAAACGTTAATGATAATCACGATATAACTACACGTGTTGTTAATTTTTTATCATTATTTTACATTGTTTACAAATCGAAATAACGGGCTATCCCAACCTGTCTTCAAAAACCCCACCAAAAGTGAGCAAATAACAATTATTATCGCAAGTTTTATTTTTTATCCGCGAAGATGAGCAAATCGAAGAAGACGTATAAAAGATGCAGAGAGGTAGAGTTTGATTCAGTGGCGATTTTCTGATGTGACATCAAACCAAAGCAGGTAATCAATTTTTTACCAATTACTCCAAAATCAAAAACGATATTTTTAACGATAATTTATTTATTATTTTTTTATGCTTGCATATTAATACTAAATATGTTATTAAATTAATTTATATATATAATAAACATAAAGTTCTCATGAATAATACAAAACTGTGATTATTATATAACAATGACATAACAGGTCTGTTAATTGCGGTTCGGTGTAAAAATCGTTGGCGTATTATTTCTTATATTAAAAAAAATCTCAGTCGGAATGTTGCCACATTAACAATCAAATAATTCCAAAAAACTTGGCCTAAATGATAGCATTTTTTTTCAAAGCTACTCAAACTATCCCAAATCTGACATAAACCCCAAAAAATAAAGATGTGCTCATCTGGAGATTTCTCCAAAAAGAAACAAATTGTACAGTCGCAAACACAAGAACTGGTCAGTAGTGTCAGTTGCAATTTCCGCAAATCAGCACACTGTTGAATTGCATAAAAGAAATTTCGACAAAAAAGTGTTGTTGTTGCAGCAATTACTGTAATGAGTAAAGTGGAAATAAAAAGAATTGAAAATTAAAAGAATCTCATTGTCAGTTTGGTTCGTGTTTGGGTGGATGCTCGAATATCAACAATAGCTTTTCAATGTGAGTCGGGTAATTAATTTCATTTAATTCTACTTCCGTGTTTGTAAATGATGATAAGTTCCTTGAATATTTTTCTAGACTTGAAGAGAAAAATTCCAAACGAAAGCAACGCGATTGAAAGTGTACCGTATTTAAATTCGACCGATAAAATTGAATTTATTATGCTAAATCGGTGATATTAACGTAATTGTTTGTGTTTAAATAATTAAACGCTTGTTGGGTGTACAACCTCGATTTTTCAGATACACACTTATCAATAATTGATTGGAAATTGTGTTACAGTGTTTGAGGATAATTACAAAATTATTGTAATTTGTTACTAATTTCTCTATTGTTATTTTTACCTCCAACAGTGTTTTTGTTTATGATTAAAGATCGTCTAGTCTATACTACTTTTTTACAGTTCAGCACGTGTAAGAATAAATCATTTTATAAATAATTATGATCTATACATTTTATGTTTTTTTTTGT